ATATATATACACACACACACACACACACACACACACACACATACTCATCTGGGAATTGCAAATTCAAAGCACAATAAGATATCACAATTAAGCAACTAAAATTAAAAGGCTAGAATTGTCAAAAGTAGATGAAAATAAAGCGCCAATACTTTTCTGGGAAAGAATAGTTACCATTTGGATAACGGGCAGTCTACTAAAGTTAAACATCTCTAAACTATGACTCATCAATTCCATTCCTAAGTACACCAACAGAAATGTATGTGCATTGCCAGGATACATTCTCTCTCTCTCCCTTTCGCCCTTTCTCTCTCTCTCTCTCTCTCTCTCTCTCTCTCTTTCTCTCTTTCTGTCACATACATACATACATACACACACACACACACACACACACACACACACACACACACACGACACAGCCCCAAGCCTCTAAGATCATAAAATTCATGGATTTTCAAAAGTTGTTTATTCTGAAGAAAAACAGACCTTCATTTTATTTGCTAAATAACAAAACATTTAATTTTATCATTTTCTATTTTTCTAATTTTTCCATGAGTATATTTCTGATCTAGTCAACTAAATTACTATTTATAGTAACTTATTATGGTGCCTAAAATAATGCCATATCCATGCAATCAGTATATCTTTCTTTGTTGCTTTATCAGTATCAGTTTTTGATGTTCAAGTGTATAATTAAACTACTTAGAACATATATTACTTTCTAATCTCTCATATTTACTGATTTCAATCCCAGTCCCCTCTCTGTATTCCTCATGCATCAAAGAACAGACATTCTCTTTTGAGTAATAATTCGTTAGCACAGTTCCAAAAATGTGAAAAAAATAAGGTAGTATGATGTTGTTCAATGCACAAGATTACAATTTAAGCATAGAATATAGATCTTGACAAATTTTTAACCTATTTTTATCTATGAAGGAATGTCTGCTAGTTCTAATAGAAAAGGGTTTGCTTAGCCCAGATTTTTTGTTTTGTTTTGTTTTTTGTTTTTGGTACCAGTAATCAAACTCAGGGCCTCAAACTTGCCAGGCAGGTGCTGCACCACTGAGCTACGTCCCCAGCCCGCTGAGCCCAGTTTTCTTATTAGTGATGTTTCCAGTACAAGAAATTTACATTAGTTTGAGGGAATTTTTAGATAGACAGATTTGTTTTATATTTATATGTCATACCTTCAGCATTGTAGATTCTCTTCAACTCCATATTCTCACTCTTCCCATGCCCACTGATTCCCTCCACCTAATCCAAAAATTCTGCTTTTATTTTATTTTTTAATTTATTGGGTTTCTCCTATAAGAGAAACTAAATTGTGCCATATTTAATTTGCTGTGTCTGACTTATTTCACTTAAAATGATAGTCTCAAGATCCATTCATTTCCTACAAACGATTCAAAGTCATTCTTCTTATGGTTCAAAGAAACCTACTGTGTATATACCACATTTTCTTTATTTTCCATTGGTGGGCATCTAGGTTGTTTCCAGGGGTCAGTTATTGGGACTGTGTTGCTATAAACATAGGTTTGTATATATCATTATAATATGATATATTTAACGCTTTCAGAAATATACCCAGGAGATGTATAGTGGGTTCAAATAGAATTTCAACTTTTAGTCTTTTGAGAAAAATCTCTATATTGACTAACAAAAAATTACTAATAATAATGATACAACTGTTTTTTAAGTGTGGTCCATAAACCACCTCTATCAGAAGCACTTGGGCCCATTGCTAAACATGCATATCTGTAGTTTCCACTTACAAATCAATCTGAGAGTGGAGCTCAGGAATCTGCATCTATGCTAAGAAACTAATAATTCTTATATGTACTACTTAATACTATACACTATTTCAACCTTTTATCAAGGATACATTATTTGTTCTTTACAGTGTCTTGTGGAGGAGGGATGTGAGCTTCACTTTTCAGATGCTGTTCGCTGAAACACTGGAACCTATGTAATGTGACCAGATCACACAGCACAGTCCACATACTTATTTATTCACTCAGCATACATTTATTAAGTGTTTCCTAGAGCTCTGTTCTATGCTTAGAGATAGAGCAGGATACCCAAAGCAAACACTGTGGTCTTCGTTACGGGGCACATATTCTACTGAGGCCCTTTTGAGCCGATCAGTAATCATTAGACTGGAGTGAATTAGAACCAGGGACAGACTCTTAGTGTAGTGCTCTGTCACTATAATACCAATTGGCCTATTCACTATACTGTATCATATATCAAGTAGCATGCGTAGGTAAGATGTAAGTACAATAAACATTAAGACGCATTCTATAAGCATCAAAGAGAGTGGAGTGTAGACTCCAGGAGTTAAACAGAACTAAGTTCAAAGTCTGGCTTTAGGACTTGCATACCTTGGCACTCTAAGTTTCAGTTAGAATTTGTTAATACCCACCTGACAGGAGCAGTGTGAATATCAAAAGAGATAATAACTTAAGTAAAACACCTATCAAAGTCTAGGTACTCAAAATCAGATTTTATGTCCATAAGCAAATATGAATCTTCTATGATAATACCATAACATAGATTGAGTAGAAGTCAGCTATACCTAGTATATCTTTAATCTCATCATAAAGACTACTTTCATGAATCTCATCCTGTATGATACATTTATGTATGGCCCCTCATGGATAAAATGGCATTAATATTCCATTATAGAGAAAACATGCATTTTTTTATTCGTAGTGCTCACCTATACTCATATCTCTGGAACACCATTCAATTCCTAGGCAGAAATATATGATATCATCACTAGGAAAAAAGAACATATAATGTAGCTTCTTCTCAACAAACTATTACTATGGTAAGTCTACAAATAATAAATTCAGCCACCACTCTTTCTGTTTTCAAACTCATTTGCCACTGCCTTGCTAGTTCACAATAATCCACTAGACTTGTTCTGACTGCTCAGCCCACCAGACTCTCCAGCATGTACGCATCACACATGATTGTTGCCCTTCAGTCCCACCTGAAATACCTGGTCCTCAGAGAAGCCTACTCCAACTGACATCCTAACAAGGCCAGGCTCTACTGTGTACAGTGATGTAGTGATGCTGCCCACCAAGAGAAAAGCCTGGGTTACAGTCAGATGCACACAGGGAGGTTGGATAAAAAAGTGCATATGCCACAAGATATAAGTGGCAATCATGTATGCATAGTGGCTAGCTAATATTATCAGCCAGGACTTCACAAGTTATTTCTCCTAAGCAACTACTGCCTATCAGCCTAGGGAATTATAATATATGCTGATAAGGTGAGGGTAAACAACTTTCCTAACAGGAATCCCAGTGTGGCCTGATTCTCTTTCATCTGCTTTTGCTGTCAAACCAAGTTTTGTGCAGCTCTTTAGCAATATAATAATGGTGTTAGACACAATATTACATAGTTAATAACAACCTGTGGTCTTATTCAGAGAAGCTCATATTTGCATGAAATTAATATTTTCTGTTAATTTTTTTTCACATTTGACATCTTCAGGAGGAAAAGAATATACCGTTCCTATTGCCTGATTAATCCCAGTGCCTTCCTCAGTTCCAAGAACATAGTAGGAAACTATATATATATATTACATATCACTATAATTCCTTAATTCAAGAGGAAGAGTTGTGTTCAGCTGAAAGATTCACTTTCCCTGGTTTCCTTCTAAATTTAATGGGTTATTAAAGTGAAAATTTTCTCTGGAAAATATAAGGAGAAATACTACGATTATTCCTTCAAGGATACCTACCTCAGGCCCTGTGATGTGCATCAGACCAGAAATAGCAGAGGCAACAGCATCATAACCAGCTCGCTGCGACATGGGACCTGTGTGTCCATACCCTAAAACAAGAACAGATACGGTCAGCCCCACGAAGGCTGCACCGGCACCATTGTGCAATAACGTGTCAAAGCCATTTGTTTCCAGAAATCTTGCTGCACTGTGTTCCTGTCAGATCTGTAGGTTTCCCTGAAGGAAACGGTAAGAATGAATTATTGTGTTCTACCCCCAGAAAGTCAACTTGTGACTTGCTGGCCAGATCCCACCTGGGTGAGTGCTTTGTTTGACCTGCAGAATGTCTTAAAGTGATTTTATTTGGCTGCCAACAATTAAAAATCAAGAGGCACATAAAATGCAAATTCATGGCTTTTGTTGAAAAAATTCAGAGAATAAATTCAAAGCTAGGGCCACATTCTTAAAAACTCAAAGCTAGGGCTACAAAACTAGGGCAACAGCTCTCCCCTTTACATGGGGCATGAATTCTTCAATTTGCTGCTGTCTCCACCACTCCTTACCCTTCTCTGGCTCAGCATGATTCATTCTGGCAGGTGCCAGGAGGGCACTAGATCTGTACATGAAATTTGACAATGTACAAAGTGAGGGAAGACTGGCTCCCCGGGTTCTACTTACATATTTTCTTAAGCATACAAAGGGGGCCGGGGACTTGGCTCAGTGGTGCCACCACCTGCCTGGCCAGTGCAAGGTCCTGAGTTTGATCCTCAGTACCAAAAAAAAAAATCTTCATCAAGCACACAAAGAAAATATAAATGACAAAATTTGGACAAGAATAAAAACAATTCTATCTCCTAACAATGCTTTTCAAAGGTGTCAGATTTCTTTTTCTCTTTCTTTTTGAGATGGGAGGGTGAGGAAACAGAGGCAAGAATCAAAAAAACAAAAAATCTTTTTTGCTGCCTCACCTCAGTCTTGGTAGGGTTAAATACTAAGGTTACATGGAGAGCTACATGACTCTGTTCCCAAATCCCATTTATCAATCCAAGAGTGAATGAATGAAGAGTGGTCCATGCCCACCCATCAGCTCGTTCTGCCAGCCCCACATACGCTCCACCCCACTCTCTGCATCCTCGATCCCCCCAGAGAGACTTTCCCTGATGACCCTTTATAAAAAAGCACTGTTGGGCCGGGGATTTAGATCAGCGGTTTGGTGGCCTGCCTCCCAAGCGCAACGATCCCCGGCACCAAAGAAAAAGCACTGTCACTTCACACCTTTATCCAATTGTATTTACCTTCATAGCCCTCATCATTGACGCACATGTTATTTGTCTCTTTCCTACTAAAATGTACATTCCAGAAATTTCTTCTACTAGACTCACTTCTGCATTTCTACCATCTAAAACAGTGTTAAAAATAAATAAAAAAAAACAAAAAAAAGCCTTCTACTGAAGGAGTGAATGAATACTGGCTACTCAAAAAGATTTTTCAAAAGTAAATAATCTATAAACTAAGAATGAATAAAGAAATCAAAGTGAATATTTAAATGATCTAGCCACCAGTTAATCTACCAAGATGCATTTAAATCTTTGGATAAAACATCACTTATAGAAAGAGTTTAAAGAATACATATCATTAACGACAGAAAATGTATTATAACATGCCTCTCATGTATTAGGATGGAAAAGGTCAAGCAAAAAATAGAAAGAGTTTATTATAAGGCCATCAACCAACTTCAATGATTATTCAGTCAATCTTCTTTCACTTTATTTATTTTTCAATTAAAACTGTTATATGATTACAAATTAATCACACCTTTTAAAAACTCAGATAAGAGTTCTGATTTCCAATTCAAAAAATATAATTTATAAATTTTGAACTATTACTTTTTAAAACTTAGAAAAGTGAAAATGGGATATGAAAAAAAACATAAAGAAAAAATAAAAATCAACACTTTCTGAGCAGAAATGCAGAAACGGATGCCAAGCTTTCAAGAATGAATTTCAGGGCACCCTAGTTTGCAGCTGCAAATGGCACCCCAGCCCAGATTTTGCCTTCTTCAACACGACAGTTTTCAAGCCACAGGTAGTCCAGGCATAGCACAGGCCCCTTAGAGCAGAGAAAAGCTGCTACCCTAAGTTCACTGTGTGCTCTGCGACCACCTGCTATCTCAACCAGAAGCAAAGAGAAGAATATAGCTTAATGCTCTCAGGGTTGGAAAAATCAGTAGGTACTTTGGGCCCGAAGCCCAATTCCCTCAAAGAGGACAAACGGAAGCCCCTTACCATCACAAATCTACATGGAGTCTTCTAAATAAAAGGCCTACAGAAAACATGCTCAGAAAACAAACAGCTTACTAAATAAAATCTCGCCATCATCATTGCCTGTGATACAAATTCTCCTTTTGTTCAGCTTACAAGGGGAAGGCACAAATATCCTAATCTAAATTGCAACTTCTAAGTATTTCTATTAAAGAGATATATAAATAGCTGCTCTCGCTGCAAGCAGAAGGCATAATGAAAAACAGAATGCAAGTTGGGATTAAAAACAATCTGGATTCAAATTATAGCTCTGCCAGCTATTAAAACTCTGAAAACTTTTTAATCTCCGAGAGTCTCAATGTATTTATCTTTAAAATGGAGATATTTGCATTTATCTCACAAATTTGTTTTGAGGATATCATTTGGTAAGACAGCATAAGTACGTTCTACTTTGAGCACTGAATATATATTATCAATCAACATACATTAATCACTATACCAATAATATATTGACTTGTATTTTCTGTAATAATGACATTAACAAAAAAAAACTGCCTTAAGGTACATTGAAATGATGCTCTTCTAAGCAGTAAAATTACATTAACAGTGTAAAGTTGATATTTTTATGCTTGGAAACATATACTTGTTCATCATACAAAAGAAGTTGACAGTGATAATATTAGTATATTTCTGTAATATGAATAAAAAATACTAACATCATCAAATACTCATGTCAATAAATACAGTTTTAAAGCTGGGAAATGACATCAAAACAGTAGTTAGCTAAGATTACTCTTTTGGAAATAGGAAAAATGTAATTATTTATTAAAAATTTAATTAAAACTGAAAAATAGATAATCATGGGCTCCAAATAGGTTTTTTAGCTTTATTTTTAGCTCTACAATTTTAAAAACAACTGAGTTTAAAATCCAAGTTAAGGAGAAAACATTTAAACATGTCAACTCTTTATATGAAGTAAAGAGGTGAGGAAAATTAAGGAGGTTGTGGAAGAGAGGAATACCCCCCTCCCCTCCCCTCTATTTCTTTCACCTACATTCATTTTTAAGGAGCAACCTCGCCATCTTGTGGCTTTTATGATCACTGACTGTAAGGGAAAACTCACATTTTAATAATGGTAAGTAAAAACGTGCAGGGAGGAATCGGAAGGGAAAGGGTTTCTTATCTTTTAATATTTGTCCTGAATACCATATACCCTGCTCTGCTCACTCCTGATTTTTCTCATTTTTCTTATAAAATTATTTTAACTTCATATTTTTCTTCTATGAGCTCTTAGAAAGTAGGTACTATCACTGGTACTCTTGCTTTATGTAACTCCACATATCCCATGGTACTCAATACTGTACCTAGCAATGGCTGTCCTTTTGGGGTTCTAAAATCCCTTGACAAACTGGCCAGAAAAGTAATTGAACACATGCTCTTGCTTTTAAGGCCCATTCATCTACGCCTGAGCTAAAAGTCAGGCTTAGATCTCTCAATAAGTAACCACAGCTTGTATCTATCTGCTCCAGGCCCAAAGCACCCAAAAATCAGGCAAGCTCTCTTGACAGAGGTCAGCTCAAGGACACCTTTGAGACTTCCAAGCAACCAAGGGTTTCAAGATTGGGCCTTTGCCTGCTAAAAACAAAAAAAACAAAATAAAGCATTTCTCACATGAACACTTCCATTATCCTCCCGCTTGTGGTCTATCTTAATCTTCCCTTTTCTGATCACAATTACCCTTTTAAAATGTATATCAGGATGTACTATTTTCCTGCCAAAGCTTTCCAAGGGCTCTCTGAGTCATCTAGAGAAAATCCAGACTCCTTATACAGGTTTAGAGAAGCCTACCTGAGTTGATCACTGCCAACTCTCTGGACTTCAATTTTCCCACTGCCCTATCTTGAGTCCCATAGCCTTTGTTTTTGTTTTTTGGCTTTTGGTTTTTTGAAATAGGGTCTTGCTAAATTACACAAGGTAGGATTGAACTTGCAATCCTCCTCCTGCCTCTGCCCTGCAGAATGCTAGGATTACAGGCATGTGCCACCACACTGGTCGATTTGGTGGTCTTCTTAAGGTTCTCTGAATACATTCACACTATATTTCCACCTTCAGGCCTTTGCACTACCTAGAGTGTTTCTCCCCCTGAGAAAGTCACATGACTTACTACTACTGATAATGTAATCTTAAAAATAACCACCTAAGAGAGGCTTTCTTTGACTACCCCAATCTAAAATAGACTCTCCCAAAATGTAAGCACCATGAAGGCTACAGCTTAGGTGTCTAATCTCTGTGATATCTTCCCCACCTAGAATAAGGTCTGCCAGTATGTTAGCAAAACAAATGTGCGTTCAGTAAATGAATAGATGTAAACTAATAAGCTTCAGAAATAGGAACAACACATTACAACTGACTATAAGGCAAAGAAATCTTTACTTGGCACCTGTAATACCTGAAATAATCTGTTGAGAGTATAGGATAGAGGAGGAAGGTTAAAGCAACCAAATTTCTGAGGTTCAACTGTTGACATTTCCCAATAGCCCACATTTGCCCCCTCTTTTCTCATTCTGTGTTCTCACTAAAAAAAATTTTATCTATTCCATGGCGATTGGCAGCTTCTATATCTAGAATAATAGTAGCTATTTATGAAGTTACCACATATTAGGCTCTGTTAGATTTTTTTTACTTAGATCACTTAATTCACACAACAACACATTAACCTAGGTACCACTATCCTCTTTTTACAACTATAAAAACTAAGACTTAGAAAGGTTAAGTCACCCACCTAAGGTCACACATATAGGAAGTAGTAGAGCTATGATTTGAAGGCAAGTCTGTGTCTTTCTACATAA